ACTCTGACATTAGGCAATCTTCTTCCAGGAAAACGCTCTTGGTATAACCGTCGTGCTTCTAGTCCATCACCATCTGCTCTGCCGTACATGTAAACGATATCTGCGTATTCTTCGTTAGTTAAAGCACAAACTAATTAATTCAGGGTTTTCAGACTGAAATTCATGAATTACTATTGATTTGTTTTGAAAGGAATAAAGCAAGAATTTGTGGAACTTAGTTTTATCATGCACGCAAACACGTTCCTTCTTATCAGTATCACAAAAATAGGAAAACATGTATTTATTATTTGTTGACAGTCAATTTGTTTGTCTTTTCTCTACTAAGACTTTGAACTAAGGTATTTTTGGCTTAAAAGATTTTAAATCCCCTAGACTTTGTATCGACCTTCCAAACACCCAGTGATTAAAAATGAATGTTTGTCCAGTCTGTCAGCATCACGTTTAGACCAAAATAGGAAGAGTCGTAAAAGTTTGTTCACTTACTACTTTTATCCGCGAGCTCATTGCCTTTTTTGTAAGCAATTATTCCGGCAAGTACCAAAATCTTCACTAACACTGTCAAGCCGGCAACAGCGTGGCCATCACGTTATGTAACTTTAATGGCATTAGTAAACTGACAGTCAACTTGCATGCTTGGAAAATTTGGTTATTTTATTAATGGCTTCACCTATAGGTTCCGTCGGTAAAGCCGTGGGTCGAAAAGCTCCGGTATACATATAGCTGAAATTACCAATATTATATACAAGTATTGCATCAAGAATATTGCTCCTGTAGATACTTCCTTAGGTATACATCGCACGTTCTCTTCAAGGGTCTTTACCTATTGTTTTTTAATGGCCTTACCATTTTATTATAGACATATTTTTCCAGTCGCCCCGTATTAGTTGATAAATGTTTTGCATCCCAGCTTTCATTAATTTTTTACTTCATTAGCAAACTGACTTTTCTCTCATCTACGGGCTGTTGACATCCCGAAGTCTGGCACTATACCATTATTCCCCAGAAACTTTAAAATTTAAAAACTTCTGACTTCGAGACAAAGAACTCATCACAATGGCAGTAAAGCTTGGCTAGCAGCTCAATTATTAAGGATTTTTTAATAAAATAATACTTATCGCCTGCTTAAGGACAAGTTCTGGTTGGGGCTGATAAAAGTCACAACTTTTAAAATTTATCCAAGAAGAATGAGCTAAGGAGATGCTTTGCGGAACATAAATCAATAGTTCAACGACAGTTTGTATGATAGTTGTGTGGTTGGAAATAATGCAACTTTGAAACTGGCAACAAATTAACGACACAAGGACTATAAATCATGGAAGTGCAGACGTAGGAGGTTTTTTTTATAGTTTGAGGATACAACTCGACCCCTCTCAATGTCACAAAAAGGCTTATGAATAAGCTACACGAAATTTAACATTTAACTGTCACTGTAAATGTACGAAAACTGAATGCTTCTGTATCACCAAACAATACACGCAGCCACCACAAAAACTTAACCGAAAAACCTGTCCATTTTATCACTTGTTCATGGCACTTAAGATATTTTACAGATATTTAGTACGTAGTGAGAGTTAATAAAGTTGCATATTTTTCAATGCAAAAATAATTTTTAGCTTTAACAGTGGCGTATGTACGGGTATTGACTTTAACATTTCTTAAGAAAAAAATGGTAAGGCAATGGTTTTTTGCCAAATAAAAATTATTTTTGAATTTTCCGTTCAATTTAAAACAAATGACCTCTCTTAAGTTGCTTTCCTTCGATGCGCCATTTTTGAGTAAAAAAATAAAAACCGTTCTACTGTCCGAGAAAATTATTGTAATAATTGTAAAATGCAATTTAGCAATAAATATGTAGTTGCTCTGCAATATCTCACTGGCTTCTGACATCTGACTAGTCTCTGTTATTCAAATCTGTTCGCTGCGACATCTTTTTCATTATTTATTTTTTACAATCTTGTTAACAATGGTAAATTAGTCAAATGCAGAAATGGTGGAAATGCATTACGTATAATATGGCCTTGCCGACGGTAATGGTGAGCAAGCCAGACGGATTTATCACCACAGATATCCCGATCGTGCCTTGCCAAATAGTCGAGCATTTTCTAATAATCATCGTCGTCTTGTTGAAACTGGTTGTGTTCGAAAAATAACATCTGAAGGTAGACCTCTAAGTGTGAGAACACCTGAAAGTGAGGAAGCAGTGCTGCACGAAGTCGAAGAACATCCTGAATCTAGTACGAGGTAGATCGCTACACACAAATTGTTTGGAGAATTTTAGTTGATTTTTTGTTATATCCTTACCATATTTTAAGAGTACAGGCATTAATTCCCATTGATTTTCCAAGGCGTGTGACATTTTGTCAGTGATATCTTCAAAAAATTACACAATTTAAATCAATGATTCTGTTCGCGGATGAAGCTAATTTTTTTCGAAATGCCATCCAGAATTTTCACAATAATCATTTGTGGGCAGAAGAAAATCCCTATGCCGTAACCGAAACCCATTCCCAACACCAATTTTCGGTTAACGCACGGGCAGCAATTATTGGCAACCACTTTATTGGCCCATTCTTCTTGTCGGGGCGACTTGACGGACAGATTTACCTCAATTTTCTTCAACAACAGTTACCTTTGCTGCTTGATGATGTTCCGTTAGTAATAAGAAACAATATGTGGTACATGAATGATGGTGCACCAGCGCATTTCAGTGTAGCGGTTCGTAATTATTTACAAACTATTTATCCAAATCGCTGGATTGGCCGCGGTGGGCCCCAAGAATGGCCACCAAGGTCGCCAGACCTCAACAGTTTAGAAAAATTTGTGTGTGCGCAATTCCATGAGACGGAGGGCGGAAACATGCATACAAAGTGGAGGAGGCTATTTTCAACAATTTTTGTAATCATTTCGTTGGTTTCAATGTCATGTTTATGTTGTCAGTTGTTGTTGTACATTACACCTAATGTGTTTAATTTTTCCAAGTAAATTAATAATAATTTTGCAAGTTAGACAATAGAACGGTTTTTATGTGTTTACTCAAAAATGGCGCATCGAAGGAAAGCAACTCAAGAGAGATCATTTGTTTCAAAAGGAACAAGGAATTCAAAAATAAATTCAATCTGGAAAAAAACCGTTGGCGTACCATTTTTTCTTGAAAAACATCGGAGCCAATACCCGGACGCACGCCACTGTTAAAGCTAAACATTACTTTTGTATTGAAAAATATGCAACTTTATCAACTTCCACTACGTACTAAATATCAGTGAAATATCTGAAGCAGTTCTGAAAATATTAACTAATTTCTATTTTTTTCCTAAAACTTCAACACCCCGAATGTTTGTAAGGAAACATTTTTGGACCATAGTTTATGAAGCAAACTAACATTAATTTTTCATGTAGATTCACACACTTAAATATTCGCATATCATTAAGGAACACCCTGTATAAATCTAATGGCTCGCTGGGAACGTATATAGGCGGATCTCCTTAGAAGATGTGACAGCAATCCCATGATAAACAGCGCCGTCTTTTGGAAGACAATTCAGTGCGACAAGGCTACGACCTTTTCAAGGGCCCACTTTGAACTGTTATTTTTAGCATTTTTGTACGGTTTGAGGCAATTTACTTAACAGACTGCGCTCTCGACTGAATAAATTATGGAAATGAGGAAGGGCATTAGCACAAAATGTGGGTGACTCCTTTTTATTTCCGAACTGTAGCGAGTTTGTCCGTGGTAGATGTTTTTCGGCGAGATTCGCTGCAATCGCTGATTCCGTTTCAGCTGGAACTACTGTGCTGTTACTTGAGCGGATTTCACGTCAATTAAGGTCACTGCATTAACGTAGCGACTACAAAAGTTACTCAGAGCTTAGTTTTTTTTGTGCGACGTATTTAACATTTACTAGAAATGCACGGTATAGGGAAGTATCCCGTTCATGAATATTTTTGAATTTCAGATAATATGTTGATGGATACTTTATAATGTCTATATCACGGAAATAGGCATTACTCACTTGCAATTATCTGTCTGCTGGCGTTTTTATATTGCATAGTCACAGTCATTGTTGCAAACGTTTTGGTAAAATATGTACAGCTATGTTTTGGAAAACTAAGAAAACCTTTGCAGAAGTTTTTCTATCTATTGAGTCGTATTATACGATGTATATATATCTTAACTTGCGAGTATCGTGAGTTCGCACATAAATCAATGCACGGAAAGCATCTAGTCACTTCACTTAAATCTATTTTTATGTATAACGATACCGACTCACTATACGATAAAAGTTTTGCAATACAGCTTTATTTATTGATTTCGTTCAAAGTAATTTTCACCACATTCAATACACTTCTTTATCCGTCAAAACCAGTCCTCAAACCAGCTCTGACAGGTTTCACCCTGGAGTGCGGCACACTCGTTGTCCCTAGCCCTGAGAAGGTCCTCATCGCTAGAAAACCGTTTTCTTTTTAGCTTCATTTTCACATGGGAAAAGGTACAAAGTCGCAGGGAGCAAGATCTGGACTGTAAGGAGGGTGATCAATCAGTTTACAGTAAAATAGTGGTCAAATACTCGGTGCAGGCCTTGGCAGGGTGAGCTGGAGCGTTGTCATGGTAGAGTACCAAGTGTCCATTCTTGACTTTGGCCTCAGGTTTTTCATAGACTCTATGACTTTAGGCAGGCATTGTTCCATGTACCACTTAGCTGTGACTGTCTTCTGTGTGTCTATAACGACACGCTCCACAATCAAGCTCGATATGAAAAATACAGCTATCATTTTTTCTTAACAGATCTGGATTTTCTGACAGCTACGGGTGTGTCCTCATCATCAAAGACCCAAACTTTGTTTTGAGCCTTGGTCGGCATATCGTAATAAAAGACCTACGTCTCGTGACCTGTCTCGATGCTGCTCACATTCTGGGATTGCCCGTTTCCAAACATGTTCAGCATCTTTCGGCACCAAGTCGTACGAGTCTTCTGCTCTTCCGTCAGACTATGCGGTCCCAGAGAGAGCAAAGTGTCCTTACGTGTGAATGGTCATGCAGAATCGAATGAATTGCTGCTGCATGAAGGCTCCTCTATCTGTTGGTATGTTCCTCTCCAATCTTCGTCAAGCATTTTCCTCACAGCAGGAATGTTTTCCTCTGTTACTGACGTTCGCGCCCTGCCTTCCCTCTCAGCGTCTTCCAGAGTGAAATTGCTCTTTTGGAATTCTCTGTACCACCTGAATATAGTCGTACAATGAGGACAATCATTATTTAATGCAAGCTTCATTTTTTCTAAGCACTGGTCTAGGCTTAAACTACGCGTAAAGTTATACAGTAAAACTGCCCTTATCTCACTACGTGACCAAGATGTTACAGTCCGCACTTTACACTGTCAATACAAATGAACAACTAACCCAGACGTGCTGCTAGCGGCTACTCTGCACTCATGGACATGTCTCAACTTGCAGTAACATGCAGCCTCCTGTGTCCGTTTGTTAAGTCATATTGCAAATTTGTACTCTAAATTGTTCGTAGTCAAGCCGTGATGCGCACTGAACTAGAATAATTCGACGTAATGTACTCGTTGATCCATAAAAATATCAGATTTAAAGAGTACTACTCATACACCTCAGTACTAGGGATCAAATAATTGAGGATATTTCATAGCAATTATGTATTCTTGGATTTGAGAAAGAGTTGGGTAGCTTTTTACTGCTGTACACTATCTTCTGAGATATCGTGAGAATTTCATATCATATGGGTTGAAAATTAATCGTTAACCTGATAAACTTGGAAGTGTATTTATGTACATATATCAGTAGCACGCAGTTTTAATTTGTTATAGCTCTCCATAAATAGCCTGAAAATGCCCAGTAACATTAAATCGTCCATGTTATGCAAACAGACCATACAAATCCTGATTTATATGAATGTGCGACCCCAAGCCCTTGACAGCGTTTATTTTTGCTGCCTAGCTATCTGCACAGAAAACCGCTGCCGATAGTATGTGCCCCGATTACTTCTGTTTCAAGTACGTTTTCTACATAGCTTTGGTTTTACAGTCAATGCACGGGAAGCATCTAGTCAATCCAGCTCACTAGAATCTATTTTTATGTATAACGATACAGACTCGCTAATTACTATAAGTTGTTCGTAGTCAGCATATGAGGAGCATTGAGCTAGAATGATTCAAAGTAACGAATTCGTAACAGTAAATAACGAATATGAATTGAAAAAACAAGACCGTAAGTTTAATTAACTAGACGTGTGGAAAAGTGGCTGATCGCATCTTAGCGTCTTAATTGTGTCAGTATATTCCACGGTTACCTCTCTTCGTGCCGAGAGTATGTGCCCCGATTACTTCTATTTCAAGTACGTTTTCTACATAGCTTTAGTTTTACAGTCAATGCACGGGAAGCATCTAGTCAATCCAGCTCACTAGAATCTATTTTTATGTATAACGATACAGACTCGCTAATTACTATAAGTTGTTCGTAGTCAGCACGTGAGGATCATTGAGCTAGAATGATTCGAAGTAACGTATTCGTAACAGTAAATAATGAATATGAATTAAAAAAACAAACCGATTACCGAATTAACTAGACGTGTGGAAAAGTGGCTGAACGCGTCTTAGCGTCTTAATTGTTTCAGTATATTCCTACATAGCTTTGGTCTTACAGTCGATAAAGAAGGAATTAATTATGATCATCATCATCATAACTTTTTTTTTTAACTCCAACTACCACGAAGGCCTAAGGCCTAAGCACCCATTGGGTACCGTGGGGCTATAGGGGGATACATGGGAAAGGGGGAACGCCACACGGACTCTGGCGAGGGAACACGTGTGCATACAACATGCACACATTCTGGCTCCGCCTACGAGATCCGCCGGGTGGTACCTCCGCGTTCGACAGTCAGAGCCCATCTACCACCTACGGACAATCACAACATCCATAGCCAAGAGAAAAATTTCTCCTGGGACGGGACTCGAACCTGCACAGCGCATGGCGGCTGATCAGGAGACCGAAGAGTCTACTACTGCGGCCACCGCTGCTGCCTAATTATTGAATCTCTAATCATAAATTCTCACCTACTAAAATGAACATAACAAATTTTAATTCAGCAAGACAACGCTGAAACTTTTATCGGATAGATATATGGAAAAAACTAATTGATAAATCGAGCAAAAAAAATAAATAAATATTAGTTTAAAAAACTAAAAAACGCGCTTTTATAGGTAACCGAACTAAAAAGTAGAAATAATTTTTAATTACAGAGAGTTTATATTACAGTAGTAGATAGTCGAACAATCAATCTTTTAATCAATGACCTCAAAATAAAATGATAATAAAATTTAAGTTACTAATAGAATAATTCATTTCAGAGTAAAAATCGTGGGGTGCCCGATATATTAAATATTACAATCATTCTTGTGGCAACTATCGATGAAAGGAGAGTTTTACAATTGTAGTAAAACGCATTCCACGCTTTTTACTCTGAATTGAATTATTCTGTTGATAACTTACATTTTATTATAATTTTATTTTGTGGTCATTAATTATGATTGATTGTTTGACCATCTACTGCTGTAATTTAAACTGCCACTAAAAACTATTTTCTATTCTTTAGTTCGGTTAGCTATAAAAGCGTGTTTCTGTAGTTTTTTTAAACTATTATTTATTAGAAGAATGTTTCGTACGTATAACTCAATCCTTATAATGCAAGGGATCTTTCCAAACAATATGATTAAAAATTGACTTCAAAGCCATGGACATTAGCCATTTGGCATGACATTGCACGCCAGCAAAGTGTCAGTGTACATCGTGCTCATCCATAATCAGTAAAACGGCTCAGTCTGTGTGCAACCAACTGGCATATATTAAATAAATAACAACCCTATTAAACGGACACATGCCAGTACGAAATGCAATTCTGAGAACAATTTTACTATCCAAACAATACGTGGATGTCGCAGACTGCATGAAACTTTCATCTGATCGATATCCACCACGCTGGATTGGACACGAGTTTATTTATAAATACATGCACATAATCCAGTGATCGATTGTTTGTTTTCTGTAGGATACGACTTTGCTTTGCACAGTTTGTAGCTAGAGCGGTGTAAAGAAGAGTATCCAATCTCAGTAGCATCGATATCGTGGATATTTACCAGATCAAGGTAAGTGGGAATGAGAAGCGGAAAATGGAAAGTCCGTTAAGAAGGCTGTGGAAAGAATTCAATCTCTCGGATGCATATGGAATGAGGCAATAATGCTACAAGTTCTCATGGAAAATTTCATACTACCCTTCCATATAAAATGGAGGCATCCAAAGGGGACTGATGGAAATTAGCTTTTCTCAAATAACCTTTGGAATACGTTGTACAACTACCTATTTTTTTATATCATAGTAATCAGTTAGGGGCACACATGATAGTGCCCATAGAAAACAAAACTGAGAGAATCATTCTTGAGATATTGCAGGATTGTCTTATGGCGGGAGAAATCCTACCATAGGAACAGTTCGGCTTTCGTAAAGAACACTCTACGGAACTGCAAGGAAAGTTTCGTATCAGAATTGGTAGTTATCTTTAATCATTAAGGAGCCTCAGGGCAGGAGTTCCACAAGGTTTCGTTCCTACTTCGACCATGGGGTATGGACCTGATCTTTACTTCCGACATCCCTCCTTTCGACGTGACAGAAGTGTTCCTTTACGTTGATGGTACCGCTCTGGCGGCTAAGTCTGTACAGGCCCAACAAGTTGTAGACCGCCTTCAGGAGGAAGTGTGTAAGCTGGAGAAATAAATGTTGGTCGACACAAATCAAGCTGTTTTCGCAGCAAAACGTAGGCATTCTGCACCAAGGCAGTTGAGAGTGTTTGTTCGAAACATAGCATGGCAATTGGGGTAAAGTATTTGTGGTTGATAAAGGACAGAAGATTAACCTGGAAGCAGTGATGGGCGTTTACTCGTATACATTAATTGTCTACGTCTCGATGTATACAATGCGTATACAATGAATACAATGTATACATTGCGTATACAATTAATACAATGTATACAATAATGAAGACAATGTATACAATAGCATAAGTGAGATTAGGTTTATTCGCAAACGACAGAAAGTTGGTAAACAGTGAACCGACAACTTAAAAGAAATATGGTTGGACGCTCTAAGAAAAAAGAAATCGATGACAGAAATGTGTATTTGAGCGTAGAAAACAACGCGTTGCATCAAGTTATAGTTGTGCTCTGTAACCTTCATCACTGTTGTGCCAGGCAACGTGGTGCGTGGCGCACTCTTTTTACACAAGTGGTACCCGCTTGTCCCCCTCTCTCTCTTCCTCGAACTCATGAAAATCTGAAAGGGAAAGGGACTTCCGACAACACTATATACAAGTAACTGAACTATGATTTGCGATTGTATATATTATATACATTTTGTACATTTTATACGTGAATATCGAGACGTATATATCCACCATTGTATACGCGTATATCACTATGCATTTTAATGCCTTTAGCATGGATTGCCTTTTTCAGATGCTTACAAAGTTCAGTATACAGGTTACACCTTTTACAATTGACTATCGACAGGGTGATGCGATAAGGATCGCGCGACACAAATTACGTATTCGAATAAGCCTTGACAGTCCAATCGTTTCCTCCCCCTTAAACAAGCAAGGGCACTTTTTCGCCAGCAGCCTGCCAGCCGTCACGCCCTCTTAAATCACTCGAATTAATAGCCGCCGCTTCCAGATTAATCACCCTCTCAGCTTCCCGGTGAACGAACGCACTTGCACACGGCCCGACGAGCAAAAATGCCCTCCACAAAGGCAACAGGAAGACTGGCAACTTCCTGACTGCCGAGCTCTAGCGCTTCCTCTTACTTTCGTCCAACACCAAGGCCACGTTGTTAGGGTTAAGATCTAGTATTTCCTCTGCGTGAAACGCTTTTACTCGAATCGTACTAATCAGACAAATAAATAGTGTGCTAGGAAAGGATCTGATCTGTCCTTTGCAGGGGACAACAATACTAAAATAAACCTCTGCTTGAAACGGGCCCTCGACAAGGCAACAGGGAGGCTAGCAACTTCACTAAGGCACTTCGACGTTTCCTCTTACCTTCATCTCACACCAAGGATAGTGTGATAAATAGCGCCATCTGTTGGGCGAGTCTCCTACTCGCCAGAGCTTAATGGCCAATCTCTGCTTTTACACAACCGCACAAGCCGCCTGGCGGCGTCTGTGAGGACCGTGACAGTGGACCGCCTTCTAGATCGACGCGAAGTGATCTCCAACATTCTAGATGTCGCTTTGTGGTCTTTCTCGAATCGGCAATTGGGACTATATATAACTCGGCGGCCGGGAGATGGCGAGAGTACGGAATACGGTAGAGTAGCAGAGCGGAGTGAGGTATAGTGCAGTC